CTCTCTCTCTCTCTCTCTCTCTCTCTCTCTCTCTCTCTCTCTCTCCCTCTGTGCCTGTCCCTCCCTCCCTCTTTCGCTCTCTCCCGCATACACACCTGGCCATGGCTAAATTTTCCGGATAGGGCATGCCGTGAGATATGATGGTGGATTCAAGGGCTACGATCGGGCGTCCCTCCTCCAACGCGCGTTGGACCCCGGGCTCTATCTGCAAGCTGGAACCCCAAGCAGCAAGACATCTACGCAAGGGAAGGAGCCTTCCGCGATGTTGTAGACAGACCGATTGACCTCCAGAGGCCTTGCGCAACAACGTTGGGGTCGCTCGGTTCATGGTGTACGCGCTAAGTTTACGCTTCACCCAGTGTCAGCGTATCGTTGACTGCTGTGGAATAGCACACCTACAGCAAACACTGACCGACTGAAGGAGATCCCCAAATGTCCGGATGTGAACCAAAAACGTTTGACGAGAACCATCAAAAACCCGCCGCATATTGACCGCAAGGGCCCCCTACAAGAATGACCAGCTCTGCTGTGGTACTAGCTGCAGGTGCTACAGGCAGTAGTAGTGCTACAAGGCCATCGCCGCAGCACCCATACCAGATCCGTCACTCACGCCACAACCACGCCCTACACAGCATTCGTTGAGGGTGCGCGTGTTGGGAAGCCTGAAAGAAAGCGGCGCCCCATCGCGTAGCTCGCCAGCAACCTCAATTACTGGAGCGCCGGCCTGCCCGACTTCACTCAATACTCTTTGTTTGAGACACGGTTCGGCAGCGGAGTATGGACGAGAGCACGGGGAAAATCAGTGGCAAGCATAAAGACAAGACCAGGAGCAAGAAACCGGGCAAGAATGCGCACAATGCTCATGTGCACGGCAAACCCAGCAGCAGCAGCAAACACCCCCAGTACCACAAGAAGAGGCTGCATCCGCCGGGGGAGAGTGGCAAGAAAAGAGTCGCCACGACCCCGTCCCACCCTCCTTCTTCTTCGTCGTTGTCCCGCCGTGTAGATGACATGCGGCTGGTCCTCGACTCCACCCCCTCTGATGAGGAACTGGCGAAGAAGGTGCGCGATGTCGTTTTAGAGCTAAAGGCCGTGGACCGAGCCCTGGCCGACGAAGGCACGTACCTGGGTATCGTGGACAAGGTGAGCAAATCTACGCCGGACGCGCCGGAATCTCAAGAGCATGCCTTGATAAACAACCACAGCAGCAGCAGCAGCAGCAGCAGCAGATGGCGTTGGAAGTATGTAGCCGTACGCACGAACGTATGATTTTTCACTCACCATGACTGAGTAGTGCCCTGTACAACAGAGTGGTGAAGCCAACGTCTGGAATCTTCATGCCTTACACGTTGGCCTATGCATAGCAATTTTTGTTACCGCTGACATCATGGTCCCTCGTTCTACGTGTGTTTTCAAGATTTCAGTTTATATCCCTCCCCTCCACTCTCGCGCGTGTGCGCAACTCCCTTTGCGGTGCCATATGGTGCGATATGTTGACGCTTGCGCCGTAAGAGCAGGATAAAACGAATCTACCAGTCCCCCAAGTCATGATCCTACGTGCGTGTGCGCGGCGTCTGTCGAACCAAGTGGCACATGGATTGACTTGATGTGGTCGAGTGAGTGCTGTTGCTGCTGCTGCCAAGAGTGTGTTACGCTCTCCCTCTTCCCATTTCCTCATCAACACCATGGCGTCACTGATGGTCCCTGCTGTGCTATGCGTGTGCTCCGCCAAGACACGTGTTTCGTTGCAGTGTTCGTGCGTGTGTTTCAAATATGGTGTATCTAACGTACATACGTTGTCTGGGTAGACGTGGGATTTCTTCGCGTGCGTGAACCGGCGTGCTCATGGCCCCATGGAAGGCCAATAGAGAAGTAAGTCGTATGGCACATGCCATTTTCAAGCTCAACCGTGTGAGATTTTATCTACCGCGTGTTGTATCGTGAGCATTAAACAAGAATTGTGTATCATCGCCGAAATTCCCTCATTTCGTTCGACAACTAACTAGGCCGAGCTCGAGAAACGGAGGTACATTCTGGTGAAGAGGCGCTTCGTCCTCAGGGAGGAAAGGGAGTTGGGGCAGAAACTTCGCGTCGAGGTTAAGAAAGGTGCGAGGGCGGCGCCTTGTGACGGTCCGCAGCACACTCATGGCCTCACTTTCTTGTCGCTTGAGGGATGCACTTTTGATCGCTCGCTCCGTCCGGCCGTGGGGTTGTTTGCTATGCAGTTGAAAACGAATAGACACAAGTTGCGTACGTATCAAAAAACGGCCTTCTCATCTAAGGTGTTTGCAGCGTCTGGAGGCAAGCAGTAGACCATATTTTTTCGCCACAAGTACACACCAGAGTGCTCCCGGGCCTACTCAGCAGCAAGACGTGAACCTTTTTTTCTACATGTGCGTCACAACTGGTCCCGTTCTTACCGGACAGTCCATCGTGAAACTTCTCGCTCCCGCTCCAAAAGCAGAGGAAGAGCGCGCCGCAGCCGAGCGAAGTGAACGGCAAGCATCCTTGTCCCCAGGGTCCAAAAGCAGCAGCGGCAACAAGAACGGCGGCAACAACAGCAGTAGCGTCACCACAGCACAACAATCTTCCCCGCCAACCCGAGCACCAGCAGCGCCAGCAGCACAAGCACCGGCACGAGCACCAGCACCGGCACCAGCACCGGCACCGTCATCGGCACTAGCACAAGCATCAGCACAAGCACCAGCACCAGCAGTACCGCCAACATCGAAACCTCGTACCAGCATGGATCAGCCATCGTCCTCGAAGACCGGCGGTGGGGACATCGGGGAGTTCATAACAAAGAACTCGGCCGCGATGGGGAAGAAGCTGGCCGGAGCAAGGCCTTCCTCGTCGGCGGGCTCGACCGCTGCTGGAAGAACCAGCACCTCGGCTGGCAGTGGCGTCACGGGTAAGTCTCACTAATTCGTGTTTGGTCGATTGCTACTGGTAAGCGACGGCCGTAACCCAACGGGCCGAAGAGAGCCTTTGTCAACGGATGGAAACAGCCGGTTGGAGTGCGTGCAAGACCATGTCGGAGCACACGGCGGGTGCACGCTGAAGCGAAGGCCATTGCTTGTCTGCTCGTGTTAGGTTTGGGGCTGTTGATCGTGTTGAATTAACTCGGAAGTCCATGATAACTCGGCAGTCCATGATTCGAAAGGTTTTGCTCGTATGGTGTGGTGCTGTTTGAGGTAAGCAGGAAACATCCATAGGGCGATACTAGGCAAGAGCCCCGAGGATCTGGTTGGCGTTATCAGCAGGACAGCCTTTGCCGTATTCGTGTCGCATGTACATAGATTACTGTTAGGGGTGCCAATCGGGCCGATTTTGGCGGCAAAAAAGTGACCGGTCTATTCGAGGATTTTGGGAAAAAAGGGGCGGGCACGCGGGTTGTTGGTTATCAGCTCAGCTCTTGAAATCATACCGATCAAAGTATACTTTTTCCTCCGTATGTTTGTTCAAGAGTCCCTGCGTTCAGGCAGCGATGTGGCTCTTCATACGTTACACACATCTGGAGACAGGTCATCTACACGTGACTGCGGGTTCGTTTTCTACTGACGTTCAAAGGGCGGGCGAACAACACAGAAAACCCTATGAAATTCGGTTTGAAGGCTCACGCTCGTGGCCGCGTTTGGTGATCGTAGAACAGCGGATCCGCAGCGCACAGCCTCGGGTTTTCAGCGACACAACGCAAGAAACCGAACTAGAATCGCACAAACTACCAGCGAGAACCGCATGTCTGAAAATGGCCAGTCAAGCACGCCAAGCACCGCGGTCGAGGTCCCCAACAAACGCAAACGCTCGGCCTTCGGCGCGGGAGGAAAAAATCGAATTCGTCGCAACCTCAAGAAAAACGAACGCAAATACATAGAGGGGGAGGGGCGGACCTTTGCCGACGCGGCCGGAGCAGCGCACACACAGCGCGCGGTCGAAAGGGGCGGTGTTGCCGTCGCGCAGAAAGCGCTGGTACAAAAGGAGCAGGAGTTGATCGAAAGTAGACAGCGCGAGGCGGCGAGCGCCGCTGGGTGCAGCATTGCTCAGGAGCTCGCGCGAGAGAGCACCGAGGCGCTGAAGGAGGAGAAGGCTAAGAGAGAGGAGGCAGAGCGGTCGCACTCGTGTGTGGGAACCGGGTGTTTTTGGTTCTGTCGGGGTTCTTCGGCGCGTTCTATGTGATTTGATTGGCTCGAGCGATTTTCCATCTGGGAGATCCAGGTCACTTTTTGAAAAATTTTCCTATAGGAAATTTGACCGATTGGCACCCTTAACTGTTGGACCTAAAAGATATGACGAGGCAGAGATGGGGAGCGCGAACCTTGTTCCTTTCTGCCACTCTTCCGGCGCTCAACTAGATGAGGCCCAGTGCTAATTAAAGTGAATCAAAAGCAGCTCTGCTTCGCCATGGCCGTTCCTACCGCACTTGCCATTTTCGGCTTCGAGACTGCTGGTAGCCCAACTAGACCTGTTAGCTCGCGCTGCGACCGTGTCAACCCGCTTGGCGAGGCGGCACCAATTTTGACCAATTGTCGCAAAAGCTCCTGTTGTTGTGGATTCCCACCCGATCCCAGCTTCGCTGCTGTCAACCCATGATATATTGCCACTTGCCTTCATGGCAATAGTCATCGATGATAATGCATGCAGCACATCCGTGGCTGATTCTCCTCTCTAAACTGTGCTAGCTCCTCGGTTGCGGACACTTTCCCCGCGGTCCGTACGCTCTCATGAGCTCGGCCACATGTCCACACGGTGAAAAGCAGGAGATCCCCAACGCAACTCCGGCCGTGCCGTTGAGAGCGCGTTTGGTACGAGCTGGGTGCACCAATCTCCGGCTCTGCCGACTTGAGCAACACCGCCTCCGGAGTATCCGTCGGGCACGCTCCCTCCGCTGTCAGCAGCACAAGGGAAATCGAGCCTGAACACCCCGATCAACCTGTTCGGGCATGCTTCTCGGAGGGGTCGCGCATGTGATCGAGAGAGATACCCACAGCAAGTTGCCCCCGGCACACGCAAAAAGTTGCCAAGGAAGAACATGCTAACTTGTGCCCATCGCGGTCACTGCCGCAACGATTTGTGGCGACGATGGTATGCCCCCCTGCTCTCGTGACATTTTTTGTGTTGCTGGATTACAGAGTAGTTACCACCAATAAATGTTTATTCGGCGACACAGCCCACACCGCTGACGAAGTCACATGAGCGCCAGCAACGCGCAACGTAGTTGAAGGTGTACTCTGTGGAGCCGCCAGCAACCCGCCCTGAAATGGACCTCGCGCACCCACGTTCATGTTAACAGCGACACTACTGCTATGCTGGTAGTTGTAGGCAAACCGTCAGTGTCCATGTTGGTTCCTGCTTTGACGATTGCCGCTGTACCCTCTCTCGCTGCTTTTCAGCTACGCATGTTCACCTACGCGCCGCCATCCCTCACGCCCGAACACTTCCCGCAAACACCGACAGAGGCTGCCGTCCAACCGCTGGTCGACATCATGACGGACTTTGCAGACAACGCTGGAAGCGGCGCATATGCCGGCACCACAAGCAGTTCCCTCCGGCTTCGCCGTTGATATCGATTGTCCCAACTCTTACTCCAGCTTTTCCGTGGAGTACCCCCCCTCCGGTCCAACCGTTGGGCATTCAGACCCACGAAGTAAGTCCGGTAGCACCGTCCGAGCCCGTCGCTGCTCGCTTTTGGCTGGCCATAATTTGACACGATCCGAATGGGACATACTTCCCAAAATATCACGCTGGCGCCACCTTTCATTCCGCACGGCCGTCGCCGAAACCCACGCGGCCGCTCATGCCAATTAGCTTCGTCCCGAGGACGACGGGATTCTCGCCGGGGACGACGTGGCACCGCTTCCGGCCGTGGGAGACGGGGCTCCAGCTCCGCTCCCGGCCGTGAAAAGAGGGAGCGCTAGCTCAACCGGTTCATCCAGCGCAGCCCGCGGGGCCCGCCAGTCCTTCACAACAACCTTCTCGGGCGGTGGGGCAGGACGGAAGGGTGACAAGCGCCGCGGCTCCCCCGGACGCCCAAGAAGAAACGTGTGGTAAAGATCGCCGAGTTCCCAAGATCCGCAAGGCCCGCAACACCAACCGCTAAGGAGGCATGTCCACAGTGCAGGCAAACCCCACAGTCGTAGCGGAGGAAACACCCGCGCTTGGTAACACACCCCACCTCACTGTAACCGCAGCCTCAGCTCCTGCGGAGGAAGTAATCACGGTCCTTGTTGCCACCATCGCAGCGGCAGCTCCAGTAGCAGGTTCAGCAACGACAACATTGCTGCCTCGGTGCACGGTGGGCCTCACACTAGCCACTGCCGCAGCGCTTTGAAAGCTCCAAGCACAGGCAAGCTCCTTATCGTTCGGAAATAGATCGGAACCACACTTGAAGCCTCAACGACACGATGTAAATTATCCCCGATTTGGCTGATGATCTTGCGTACAGGGCGACCACCGGAGATTGGGGATCTGGATGGAATTAACCCCTAGTAATTTTTCACCCCTATCCTTCCTTCAACCTCCGCGATTACCAGCGGGCCTCACAATTGTTTGGACAACTCCCTATTGACTCCGACAGACTCAGGTGCCTCGCAACAGCTCATCCGTTTGGGGCACTTGATAATCAATACGGATCTACGGAGATTCCGGGGGTTCCGTTGATATGTGTTACTAGGGCAGTTGGGAGACGACCCCGCCAGCAGAGCTCCACGCTCTCTCTCTCTCTCTCGGATCCCTAATCTCTTCTTTTACCATGGTTAATATCAACGTCCTTGGGATCAACGGTTTACTTCCCGAGCTGGTGACAACAAGCTGTCCTCCTCCAAACACGATCTTTAGATCACGAGGATATTGTTGGGGCTATCCACTTGCGAGTATTAGCCCGGCTACTACCCGAACTCATAGCAAATCGATAATCGACACCATTTTGTCCGAGAGCGTGTAGCGCGGGGGGCATTAAAGTCATTCAGGTGCGATCAGACCTTAAACAAACAGATTTCCTGACAAAGCCTCTGTCTAAGGCAAATTTTTGCGTCCGCCGAAAATTCGTCGTGACTTTGCGTCGAAAATGTTTGACGCTACGTTGTTTGCCCCCATTTCTAGCTGCAGGGTGGCTATCGTTGTTGGGTTTTCTCTTGGGCATGCGTCACATGTTATTGTGTTTAGGGGGAGGGGCGTTACCTGGGAAAATATATCATGCTGCTGGCGGTATTGACCGGACCGCATTGGGTACTCTGTTTTTCGTGTTCTTTCTGCTCTTTTCTGGCAGCTCATTTCCGCCGTGGTTTTGGTTTTTTGCTTTGATGGGCTGGAAGTATTTAGGCATGCAAAAGTCCTGGACGTTGCGCGGAATCATCTGCCACTGCCATCGACACTTATGGGGGGGGGGTGTCTTGCCATAGATTCCCGTAGCAGTGAAGCAGTGTTTGTGGCGTTACATATATATGTTGTCGGTGTTTGATATTTGGGCTTTGGTTTTTTGTTGTACCGGAAGAACATTGCTTTGAGGGTTTCGATGTGATCATTTTGTTCTGGGAGGATGCCCCGGCAGGAGGGGTTCTTGTTGAGGAGTGTGGCTGTTGGCATGAATAGGGTATATATAATTTTGATAGGAAGTGGGATGGTCAGGAGGTATGCCTCCATGGTGCAGTACCCATACCACATCAGAATTGTCCGCTATGCGTGCCCCCTGAGATGAAAGTTGGGTCCTTACTTCATCTCAGACCTTATCTCGGTAAAACAAGCACCTTTGCCATCCTGCACGTTCGTGGAGCAAGAGCATCAACCGACATTTTTCTTTTCCTTTCCCTAGGACAACGCTACCATCTACGGCTTGTGCTCCTTCATATTTGGCGTTAGCAGCAGGATACTGGTTTGAATCTTCTTGGGTGCACATTCTTCTCCTGACTTGGACATTTTTTCCAGGGACACCAATGTCTGTCAGTCCTAAGAGCACCTCTTGGAGTCGATCTTCCAACGACTATGTGATACTTCAATCGAAGTACCCGTCCTGGCCACAGGAGGTTCCCAGTTGAGGATAAATTCTATAGGTGGAGAGTGTTAGAGCAGACCCGATTCGCAGGGCATCCGTCGATTGACTGTTACCAGAATCGGTACACCTCCGTGTTTGGCGTCAGCGGCATAAATGCTAAGCGAGTGCTGGACGCAGGACTCTCCCTGCTGTTGTCGCTTGGACTCCCATCTCTGCAGTCACTTCCCACATCTTATTAGGTCTCACCACTTCACGAGAAACTAGGTTTGGCAATCCTTCTTTGCGCTTCTGGTAGAGATGGCGACTTGCGATGCATTTGCCAAGCGTCTGCGAGACTGGGACCTCGCGACGGATACACGAAAGGAGGTTGTCGAGATGCCACAGGGGACTTCTCTTTCAGCCGCCGTTCTTCTCGAGTTATTATCTCAGTTTCATCGGTGCATGAAGTGATTGCAGTGGCGGACAAGCTTTGCACACAGCGGCCTCAGGTGCTGGCCATGTGTAGTCGTGCTAGAGAAGACACTCAGATTTGACTCCGCTCACTGAGAGTTGGCGGGCGCTGTGCGCACGGAAATTTGGCGTGCTTCACGACACCCGTCTTCCCTCCATTTTTCGTTTCCTGGCACTCTTTTTTGGAGAATCGTTCGCCATCAAAGAGCATGAGTTAGCCAATCTTCTTCCGCGTAAACCCCCAGCAGTTTGTGCTCGCACTTCGGCAAAGGTTGCTGTAGAGCGGCGTGCTGCGCTGCGCACCTTTGGTCGGACAACCTCGTATCTCCGTCCAACACGGGCACTTTTTCGTACTAGCCTCTGCGGCTGTTTGCTAGTGGCACGGTTTCATTTTGGATGCGTTTGCTGCTTGGTAGGACCCGCTTCACCTTGTGCATCAATTTTTTTGTCACCGGCTGTATGCTGTCACGTGGATTTTTGCGCGTTTCATTGGGGCCTGTGCATGATTCTGCTCTTCCTGGCATTACTGCTGCTTCTCCTGAAATAGCGGTTGCCCTAACCCCGACCCTGTCCCCATCAAAAAAGAGGAGCGCATGTCCGGCCAGGAAAAAGAATTGGTGGACTTCGAGCACGAGAAGGACCAGCAACAAGACCAGGGGCCCCAGCGGTCCTCGGGCGGCTCGGGTAGCTCTTCGGAGGATGTGGAGGACGAGTCGAGGATCTGGCGCCGCCCCCGGTTCCGTTTGGCTCGGGTGCAGGCCTTGCTTCAGGATGCGTCTTCGGAGGACCTGTCTGCTGCCTTTCGTGACGGAGACATCACTCTTCGAGATATTGTGTCAACGTGTTTGTCGTCCGATGTCCCTCGTCCCGTGCCCCCCTTCGACCTAGATATGTCGCACGAGGAAATTTCTCGCTTGCCCCCCGATGACTACGACGCATTGCTCCAACTTAGCGAACACTGGCACGGGCGTTTGACGGAGAATCTTCGCGCGGAGGCGGAGGCGGTGGCAGAGAAAGCGGCTGCAGAGGAAGCAGCGGCGGCAGCAGCGGCGAGAGCGGAGGCGGAGCGAGTGGCTCCGGAGCAAGCGGCGGCGAAGCAAGCGGCGGCGAAGGAAGCGGATGCAGCAGCAACGGCGGCAGCGGTGGAGGAGAAAGCGGCTGCGGAACAAGCGCAGTTTGAAGAACGTCTTCGCCAGGTGCAAGCTATCATGGCTAGAACCAACAGGCTACGAGCGGGCGTTCTGCCGGAGGAGCCTGGCACACCACCTCTGTTTCCCTCTCCCGTTTCGCCCCCCCCGAGTGCTGTCTCGCCGCGCCCGCCCCTCTCGTCGCCCCACCCTCGTCCCGTTGGACATCCTCGTATGCCGCGCGCTCAAGCATCTGTTGATTGTAGCAGGGGCACAGGTGCGATGGAGTCAGGACCGGCCGTGGACACCCCGCAGTTTTCCGTCACTCTCCGTGGAACCTCCAGGCCGGATCCCGACGGTGTGCGTGAGAAGGACGCATTTGCGCCATACGACAGGCAGTCGGCGGATATCGCGTTTCTTCATCGCAGCGTCGGGATGCCCTCTCGCGATGTCACGTTCCACCACCAAGACCAATCCGACGCGGACACTGCCTGGGGAGCCTGTCGCCAAGTCGTCCTGGATGCCGTTCGCCCAACGCCCATCTCGCAGGTTACCTTCGGCACCCTCTTCAACAAAGGGTTCATCAAGAAACTCACGCCCTTCCAGCAGCAAAACGTTTTCAGGCTTGCACATGCTTTACGACGGGCTACTTTCCGCGATGAACCTCAAGGATCTATCCTGGTCACCCCGAGTGGTGGCTTACAGCCGCCTCTCAACCGCGCGGCCTCGACCACCGACCAGCGTGATATCACCAGCTCGAACTACGGCAAGGCGACCCAACGGGACTCATCTCACTTCAGCCGTGGCTCGGGCGAGGGGCGCAATCACTCGGAGTTTACGGCACCGGCGTCTTCAACGTCGGATGAGGATTCCACGAGTCACAAATCGGCCTCCGGTTGTGGTTCCGGAGACGGTACGCAGGGTTCTTCGAGGAAGCCCCGCGGCGAGCGTTGGGGGGATCTACCTCCGACGGACAATACCCAGTCTACGGCAGCGCCTTCGAAGAAGCCCCGAAGCGAGCGTTGGGGGGATCAACCTCCGACAGAAAATTCCCGGTCTACGGCTGCGCCTTCAAGGAAGCCCGGCGGCGAGCGTTGGGGAGATCTACCTCCGACGCACAATACCCGGTCTACGTCAGTGCCTTCGAGGAAGCCCGGCGGCGAGCGTTGGGGGGGTCTACCTCCGACGGATGATACCCGGTCTACGGCTGCGCCTTCGAGCAAACCCGACGGCGAGCGTTGGGGGGATCAACCTGCGACGGACAGTACCCGATCTACGGCTGCGCGTTCGACGAAACCCGGCAGCGAGCGTTGGGGGGATCAACCTGCGACGGACAGTACCCGATCTACGGCTGCGCGTTCGACGAAACCCGGCAGCGAGCGTTGGGGGGATCAACCTGCGACGGACAGTACCCGATCTACGGCTGCGCGTTCGACGAAACCCGGCAGCGAGCGTTGGGGGGATCAACCTCCGACGGACAATACCCAGTCTACGGCTGCGCCTTCCAGGAAACCTGGCGGAAAGCGTTGGGAGAATCAACCTCCTTCGGAAAATGCCCGGTCTACGGATACGCCTTCGAGGAAGCCCGGCAGCGAACGTTGGGGGGATCAAGCTCTGACGGATGATGCCCGGTCTACGGCTGCGTGTCATCGCGGCGGGAGGAAGAGTGAGAACGAGGATCGTCGCCGGTCCAACAGGTCTCCACCCGTACGTCGCCGCGGAAGGAGAAGAAGCCGGAGCGCCGTTAGGAGCCGGACCCACAGGTCTCCGCCAGCGCGTCGTCGCAGCTGGAGCAGGAGCCGGAGCGAGGATCGGAGCAGGGCTAACAGGTCTACGTCTGGATGTCGCCGCAACCGGAGCAGGAGCCGGAGCAGGAGCCGGAGCAAGGATCGGAGCAGGGCTAGCCGCTGCAGTCGGAGCAGGAACCTGACCGAGGACCGCAGCATGGCCACTAGCCGTGGCAGTGGAAGGTGGTACCGGTCGGAAGCGGAAGCACAGCAACGGTGACAGGCGAGTAGAGTAAGACCGAGGTGATTTTGTAGCCACATGTATTTGGGTGAAGAAGGGGGCGGATCAGATGGAGAGTTCCACGATTCTCCACCGCCTGTTTCCCGCCCGCCTGTTGCTGTAGGAGAACCATCTGTGCCTTCCTTGGCTTAAAGGCTTGCCAACATGCAACTGCAAGAACACTCAGCCTCTGTGAAAAGTCACGCCCCTCCAAACGTCGCCGATGGACATCACACGCCTATCTTGACTCCGGATGAGCGCCTTGAGTCACCGCGCCAAGCTGCATCACACACTTCGCCTTGGGCCTCACGTATTGAAATGCTGTTGGAGGGAGTTCTGACTCTTTTTTGGACACAGACACCTCGTCATGTTGTGGATGCTACTGCCGATACGGATGCACAATCGCCCGCACCCCAGAATCCCTCCCCTAGCGTGGAGCGACCTCTTGCCCCGTTTGTTTCGTAACGGCCGGATCCTGCATTGTCACGCGACAAAGCTTCGAGTGCTTCTGGAGCTTCTGCCTCTCCTGTGGTGTCTATACAGGGGCGACAGTGGTGTCGTAGGCGCCAGCCTTATCGGTAGGATCAGCAGCGGTGACGCCAGCGCCAGCGGCCCAGGCTTTGGTCGTGCAGCCTGCTTCGAAAGCGTCGTCGTCGCCGCTCCCGGTAGCATCGGCCAGTGCTTTTCATAACAACACCCGGGTGGAACCTCACAATCCTCTTGGCCTTCTTTGCAACAACCTTCGTTAGCACCCCTCAGCGCACGTCTTTTGCGACATACACAAGTTCTACGGCAGGAAAACCCGTCACATCGCCGAGCAGGGTCTTCCACGGGCGCCAGAGTGTGGAAGGACGCCCTGGATGCTGCGGACGGCGCTGCTGCAGAGGCAGACATCATCCATATTCAAGACAAGATGGACAAGCTGAAGCCGGAACAACTTGATGGTGTTAACCGTTTGCCCCTTGGTCCCGATCCTGACGAATTTGCTCGTTTCGCGTCTAGCTGCCAGCTCGTCGTCGCAGAAATCCTCACCAAAACCGATGTCAAGCGTCAACATAACTTCCATTTTACCACCTGGGTCAGCGGATGGCTTCCATTGTTGCGCAAACGTGTCCGTGCTACTGTCGTTGAAGGTCAACCAAGCAACCGTACCACCATGGAATTTCTCAATGACATCTTCCAACAGGTAGAAGCTCATCTGCGCAAGGACCCAGCGGGGCCCTCGACGCACACATGTTTCATCCAGAAACTGGCGGGCGCATGGGGCTTCCAAGACAAGAGCTCCGGGGATTGATCGTCTTCGTAGTTTTGGAGTGCCCAACGGGGAAACTTTCCGAGAGTACATTCGTCAGTTTAAGGCTTGACTGAAACTGTCATGGTCTCATCACCCGTTCAAGCATTCGGATGCGCAAGTGCAAAACAGCTGTTCGGGACTCATGTTGAAGCAGTTTCCGGTTTTGTCTAGGCAGTTGCGTAAGGTTGAACAGCTCACCATTGAGGCCCCGTGTGGACGGCATGACTCTTGCTTGGGCGACATGTGGGACTTGTGGACAAGCGTGTGATAGTACACACGCCCGATGTGAATGGAGAGAGTTCTTTTCCTGTGTCTTCGATGAACCTTGGGAATTCGGCTGCTGTTTCGCGTGCGGTAGCTTCATCGGCGTTGAGTTCGACTGCACCTCCTTTTTTGGAGCAAGGACTCTTCGCTTGCTGTGATGAGTGTTGACCCTCTACCAAACAATGATCGGGACATCGGGACCCTTTTTTGCTGCACTATTCACATAGTCTAGACCGTTGGTTTTACGGGGATATGTGTGTGGAGAGTTCCCTAGATTGTATCGAGTACGGAGCAGGGACGCTGTTTGGGGTACTCGATTCTCGATACAGATCCACGGAGATCCTGGGGGTACGTGAATTTGTGTTGGTAGGGCAGTTGGGAGACGGAGCCCCCACTGGGCACCATGGTCTCTCTTTCTGCTCCCTACTCTCCTCTCTAATACTGGTATATATCAAGGTCCTGGGGTCAACCTTTTCTCGCTGCGCTTCTGACAACAAGCTGCCCACCAAACATATTGGAGCGGTTCACACGAGCGTGGCAAGGCAGTTTCCAGGGCTTGTTGCTCAACTTTTGCAGGGGAAAAGACCACCGAGCAAGTAGAGTCGTACTCAACAATTTATTTGGTTGATATGGCAACTTTAAGAATCATCTTGTCAACCAGATGTTGACACAACAGGGGCGTGTGGAGGTGGGTTGTGAAGAGCCGCGTCTCCAATAAATTTCCGGTAAATCCCATGTCAGATGAATCATAGCCCCCCCCTTCGAATGATTTCCCCTGCATCTACGTCTCCTCGGGGTGGGCTAGTGTGACGGGAGTTGGCTGTGGACATGGGTGTTCTCATAGTCGTGCATGCCGTAGTCGTTACACCATTGACCTCGCATCCCTACAAAGCCGGGACGGAGCACGCCGGGTTCTCACCGGACTAGGCTCTCACATCACCAAGCGCGAAGCGCCGTGAGATATTCGGCGAGTCGCATGAAGGGTGCGCTGCATCCTGCTAAGGGTGTTCGGCATCTTGTGCTTACTTCCTTGCGTACGGATGACAGCTGCGTATGACTTAATTTATTTTCTGGTGCTTTCACTTCCAGAGACAGTTGTAAGCACTGTGTAACTGCCTCGAGGGTGCTTGACCATTTTAACACAACGTGGTGCGATCATCCCCCTTGCGCGGAGTGAGGGTTCTCCACCCCGCACAACATGATCTACTCGACCACCACTATGGTCACCGCCAACAAAAAAACAGAGGTAATAAACAAAACGGTAACCTGGTTGCCGAGTTCACGAAGTGACTTGGCTTGTTTTACAACGTCGTTGCCAAGCGAGGCAAACCCAACCCCGATGGCAAAAGCCGGGGGGGGCGGCTTGTTTTACAACGTCGTTGCCAAGCGAGGCAAACCCAACCCCGATGGCAAAAGCCGGGGGGGGCGGCTTGTTTTACAACGTCGTTGCCAAGCGACGAGAACCCAACCCCGTTGGCAAACAAAACGAGGCTGAGGACATGGGCGTTATTTTTTCTCCATGTGTAGCTTAACGGTGTTGTTGCTGTTCATGGTACAGCAGGCAGGTAGGCAGGTAACATCCATTGGACGATACTCGAGACAAGAGCCCCGATGATCTGGTTGGCGTCTTCATCAGAACGGCCTTTGGCGTATTCGTGCCGCATACGAAATAAACCTGTAGATCACTGTTGTTGGACTTGATCGGTATGACGAGATAAGGTGGGAGCGTGAGCCCCCCTCCTCTCTGCCTCTCTTCCGGCACTCAACTAGCTTGAGGCCAAGAACCAACCGAAGGGAGTCGAAACAGCTTCTACTCCTCTAAGATCTTGGGGTATACCCCATGTCGCAATCGCATTCAAACAGTAAGCTGTGGTGAACGGAGGTCTTGTTCAGAGAGCCGATGGTCCTCTGTTGGTGTTTGTGAAACTCGAGGAGGTGGGGCTTGGGGCAGAATCCTTCAGATCTCTTGTGTGACCCCGGCTGGTACACCCGAACAAATACTCCAAAAGAGATGAGGAAAGGAGGTGGAGATCGATGCCAAAAACAAATCGGATGATCGCGTACACCACACAAACCCGTCTGCTGTGCACACCGTCGGTCTATAGCGAAGCAACGAAACATACAGTACAGTACAGTATCCGGTCTCCATCGAAAAAGGACTAGGACACCCGGAGACTAGACTATTAGTCAAGAAAAATAACCTGGACGTATGCAAAGAAAAACAGACGCAGAGTTTGCCCTAGTTTGCACCAATGCTCCTGTTTACAGACGAAAGAAATATCCATGCGCACTAATGTAAACAACCATTTGATCACATCTCGCGTGTAGAGAGAGAGAGAGAGAGTAGGGGCAGTAGCCTTGTATGTGTACCACACACCTCTGCCGTGTCTCCCTCTCTGGGCTGCTAAAAAATGCGGCACGAGCCTAGCTACTTGGATCTAGAGCGGATGCAACTGGACGTCAAGTTCAACAGCTCATTAATTGGTGGACACCGAGTTAATCCGTTCCGCCGCCTTTGATGCTTGCTTAAATATCCATGGACTTCGAAATATGCACCTATGAAGGAAAACGACCGCACAATACAAAGAAGACAAGAGCTGCGGCGAGATAAGGTCGACGAGACAACGCAACGTCATAACAAACCCCAAAGAATTCACGCATGAACAACCGAAACAAAACAAGGACATACTGATGCGATCAACATGCTCACACAGCAGCAACAAGCCTGCAAGCAGGTGCCAAAGCATTAAAAATACATTCATCACTTCAGAACTCGCACCCCTGATACCAGTACCATATGTAACAAGGAACGCTGATTCGCGTGGATCATATATAACCGAAGCGAAGACTAAGCGGCAGTGGCCACCAATCAAGCCATTTCGCATGAAGGCATGTCGAACCACAACGAATGTCAAGCAGTGCCAGGCTAGCCACCCAGAGAAACAATGCAACGTAAATCCATCGACAACAGCGACGACGCAGCGCGGCATATTGAGCCAATCAGACAGCGGCCGCGGCAATCAAACAGCGGCACCGGACGAAAACAGCGAGAACGTCGCCGACGCGAGCGTTCGCACCGCCACGTCCAAGCGCTGTCGGAAAACGATCGCCAGCGCTATCGCGATAGCGGTGCCCCAGATTCGCCTTGTCGTGCGGTCTGTGTCGGCAAGGATCTTCGAGTAGGGCATATCGTATCGGGTCTGGATCATCATGAATACCTGCAGGCAATCAACAGTGGGGTGGGGGAGGGTGTACTCATAGTCGTGCATGCCGTAGTCGCTACACCATTGACCTCGCATCCCTACAAAGCCGGGACGGAGCACGCCGGGTTCTCACCGGACCAGGCTCTCACATCACCAAGNTTTCTGGTGCGTTCACTTCCAGAGACAGTTGTAAGCACTGTGTAACTGCCTCGAGGATACTCGACCATTTTAAACATAACGTGGTGCGATCATCCCCCTTGCGCAGAGTGAGGGTTCTCCACCCCGCACAACATGATCTACTCGACCACCATTATGCTTACCGCCAACAAAAAAAAACAGAGATAAAAAACCCCGGTAACCTGGTTGCCGAATTGGGGTGGGGGTGTACTCATAGTCGTGCTCATAGTCGTGCATGCCGCAGTCGTTAGACCATTGACCTCGCATCCCTACAATGCCAGTATGCAGCAATTTGCGGCCCGGGTTACGTTTCACCAGGATGAACCAGGATCCGGTCATCATCCTTGCGGTTGCTGTGCCGCACCAGATAAGCCATGGGTTGATTGGGCATCCCGGCTACCCAATGGTTTCACATTCGTCACGCACTACTTATGTTTCAAGTTCCGCAAGGGGCTTCGATCTCTTGCGCCCTAGTACAAAGCACGCGCGCCACACATAGCGAATGACGGGGATTGGCTTGACTGTTTCCGCCGAGGTGTGAAGCGAGGGGCGAAGAAGCCACGTTTGCAGATTTCCGCGAGCACCGTTGAAGGTATGTATCAGTGCAGCAAAATGCCAGCACGACTACTACGATAACGACCTGACGACGACGATAACCAACACAAAGATGGCTATCATCAACGAGAGCCTGCATCGAACGACCGCAAACGACTGATTTATCGACAAAAGCAGCACCAACTCACACAGGGGACCCCGCGAATGAGGACGTATTCAAGCTCCGGTTCCGTTGACACTGACTTACCGTAATTCAGCCAGCTAATAATCACCGACGCCACGTACAGGGACACAAACACAGATACACACGAACACTCACGAACGCACCTGCTGGCCGAAGATCTTGGGGAGAATCTTGTTGAGGAAAAACGTCCGGAGCAAAAAGTTGGCGGTCCAAAGCTTTGGCTTGAAGAAGTACGGCTGCTTGTACTGCCAGGGATAACCGATCTGGCACAGCTGTCAATTCGGAATTTCGGGGAAACCAACGGGGCACCACGGCAGATTTTTGGTTTAGACACAGCGGCAAGGTGGTCGGAGTTTGTTCCATTATGAAGCATAATCAGTAGCAGCCCTAAACAACATACACGCGTTCGAGGAAATCCCTCCCTTGGAGACGACGGTTTCGAGGGCCAAGGATCATCATACACGCAGGGAAGGGCATCAGGCCGCTGAGACACGTTCAGCGTGCGGAGGAAAAATGGAAGCCAAAACGTGCACTTCACCTGAACTATTTCTGTGGCCTTGTTGATGACTCTCGCGAAAGCAAAAATTGATGGAAAGCAAGTATTCGAACCCGCAGCGTGTCAGCTATGTTTCAGTTTTGCCGTGTTCCGCAAGCGATCGCGAACCCCAAAAGGACCTGAGTACTGGCTGCAAAATGACGAGGCCTTGCTGTCATGACCAATACGTAGTCACAGAACGACCAGTGTTTTTGAAGCACTTTCATCGGCTCTCAATGCCGCAGAGCGTTTGTAATGACAGAGAACCACGACAAACCAAGCAATCCTCGGCTGCAGAGCGATTGGGATAGACAGAAGCGCCAGCAAGCAACAGCAACGACGACGACGACCCACCCTGACGAGAGCTTTGGAGTCCGCGGCTCGGGTACGCTCGTACTCGGGAAGCGCGTCCTCCACCCGGTCCCCGCAGGACGCCAGCGCGCGCTCCAACACGACCACGTCCTCAAGAGCGGAATTCACCCCCTGTGTACCACAGCGCATCGCGGAGCGCGGGGCAGTAAGAAGCAGGTTGTACCGACCCACCGGCCGCTGCCGCGTGTCAAACGGGCAGATGGTCGGTCTTCCTACCCCGACCATCTGCCTTCCTGTGTAGCTCTATCCCTT